AAATAAAAGGCTTAGTTTTTCAGCAATTTTGACTTCCTAAATGCATTGTTTAGCTCATGGTAGTCAAAATCACGATTTAACATATAAGATTATATGATTTTATGATCTACTGCCGCCACTAGTGAAACGATCCTGATCTTGGGGTGTTGCTCTTTCTTATGATCCTGATAATTAGAGCCTTTTTTGTTTTTCAAAAATTCCAATTGAACCCATTTGACTCACCCATTTTATTTTGACTCGACTTATATAACCCATGCTTTAAGATTTTTTTGGACATTTCTATTCAATCTTACCTCTCTCTAACATGCAATTAATTACATTTCTCTTCATCATCGTGCAGTATGTGAGTTTGTTCTCTTTATTCTCTACCTGTTTTCCCTTCAAATCGCCTCTTTCTCCATTATAATTTTATTTAAAATTAATTTTTTAAACTTTTTGTGATGAAAAATTATCTATAAAATTGTTGTAATTAATTTCATTTAACATTTTATTTTTAATAGATAATAAGGTCAACACGTTTAATTTTTGTTGAGACATTCTTGATCTTCAGTAAATTTTATTAATTTTAATTTTGAAAAACTTCTTTCAACTAAAGTAACTAATATTGAAATCGTCAGCATTATTCTATAAGCTATATATACATTAAGAAAATAATTTATTCTTTTTATATAATTGAGTATGTCAATTAATTTACCATTTTCCAATCCTATAATTTCTTTTAATATATTTAATTATGAAAATAAATTTAATCTATCAATATCCAAGAAATTATCATATTTCAAAGAGTTTTTAAGGTTTAGGCATGTTTTTTTCTTCAAAATAGTGACTTTAATTTTTCAACACTAAATTAAAAATTAAAAATATCTTCATATATTTTAAATTATTTAAATTTACTTTGGAGTGCAGTATTTTAATTAAAGAGATTATTATTTATTGGTTGAAGTTACTACTTATTAAATGTTATTTGTAGTACCAATAAAAGTTACAATCATTTAGATTATTTTAATTAAAAACTATTTTTAAATATTTTAATTTTTTAGAAATATATTAGTACTAAAAAAATAAATTTTTGGAGCCTAAAGCCCTTGCCTTAGCTGCTTAGGCTTTAAGCCAGCCCTAGTTACTTTCTCTGCATGTGAGTGTGACTGGGTGGGTACTAGATTCTCTTCTTTGTCTCTATTTCTTTGGTTTTGGTTGTTGTTGCACCTACAAGTATGAGTTGCTTAGGTGTTGGTCACTGTGCCTGTGAGTTCATCTTGCCAATAGGTGCTGAGTGTTTAAATACAAGTATTTGATTCCATTTGTTTTATTATTATGCATCTTTATTTTTTATTCTTCTTTCTAGTTGCATGTTTTCTAATCCTTTTTTTGGGTCAACATTTGTCCACATTTTGCAAAGTGTGGGTTGGACTGTGTGATTAGCTTAAACATATATATTGTAGAAAAATGTTTTTCTGTTTCTTTTTTCATAAAAACATATTATTTAAATAAATGACATATATTTTCAATTAAATTTTAATTGATGTTCTTTATGATTTTAAGGTTACTTTGCTTATTTATGATATTTTATATGTACATACTAATTTAATTCAATATTTAAGTAAGATAATACTTTTTGTGTTAGGATCTTACGATTTACATGTTTTTCTCTTCCTTCTGATTTGGCTAGGATTTTGATTTTGACTACCTTGTTAGTGACCATTCCACAAGTAGATCCAATGAAACCATGGAAATTTTGAACCTTAAATCATGCATTTTTTTTTTTAAATAGAGCTCATTAGCACTTTTTGACATATTCCTTGTTGTGTTGTGGCCTAAATTAGTTGTGTGAGGTGTCTGAGGTTATAAACGTGAAGCTAATGACAAGATTTCAAGTACCACACGAGCCTGAGCATTATACTAACTCTTCCCTTTTTAGTAAGGGGGAAGAGACAAATATATTTATAAATAACAGAAAAAAGTGTTATGTTTTATTCATTTCATTCTAATTTATTTTAAGTAGAGTACTCCTTGCTCCATTTTAAATAAAAATACTTGATGGGTTAGTTTTGAAATACTTTAGAAGAACTATATTTATTTACGTAGTCAAAAAGAATGCTTGGTGTTTTTAGTAAAGTAAAGAAGTTTGAGATTGTTGTTGTCATAAACTATTATTAGAATAGTTGTTGAAATTATTATTAGAATTGTTATTTTTATTAAAATTACTATTGAAATTGTTGTCGAAATTATTATTAAAATTGTTGTTGATAGAATTATTATTGGAATTGTTGTTAGAGTGATTTAAAGAATTGTTGTTGATAGAATATTACTTTTGGAATTATCATTGTGAAATGTTGTTGGCACGAAGCATAATGCATTTAGTTGTGCATTAACAAGGATTATTGAATGCAGTCCTTATGGGATTGAGATATTTTGATAAGGAAGAATTTGAAAAGATTGTTGATACATTTCAAAGGATACCATTAAAGATTTTATATATTAAAAATATTTTGTCGATAGTTTGAATCGTTTCACTCACATTGTAAGTTGTGAAAGTTGTTATTTTAAAAAATTTTACATACCAAAATGTTTCAAGAGTTTATACCTTTGATGATACATGTCCATTTTAACACTTTAGTTTTTGAAGCTTGATTTATTAAAAAATTCTACTTAAACTACGTTATGCTACTTTTCTTGAACTTGTTGATTTCATAAATCTAGTCAAATTAAGATTTAGTGGCTTATTTCAACCACGTGTTAGAGAGGATATTCATTTGATTTTCTTTGATTACTTCCTTGATAAAATATTTAAATTATTTGAAAAGAGAACTTGGGTTGGATATGTTGTGTTTGAACTATTCTTAAAAAATTTTTGCTAAATTTCAGGTTCGTTGAAAAATTTGGAAGGCCTTATTTTTAGGAAAAACTCTGTCAAGATTTCTGGAGGAGTTGGTGTTGTGGTGGATAGCTAAGAAGGTTATGTGGTTATGATGAGAAAAGCCTAATTTCTCATTTAAGACCATGCATCATTGATTGAGTCATGTGGTGGTAACTTGGTGATCACTTGGCTTGGAGCCTTAAAAAACAATTGGGGGTTGACTTATGCCTTGTAGTCTTAGGGGTGCAGTTGAGTGTAGAGCCTTAGGGGACCTAGGCTTTGCTACCTAGTGTCAGGGTACTCTACGTGCGTGCTCAATAACCTTGATCTAGCCTTGAGAGGTTATCGGCCAGTCAAGTTGTTTTGTTGATATGATTAATTAAACCCAATACTTGTGGGTAGGGACAACGAAACTCCTAGCAGTCCCCAGATGATGTGATTTGTGGACCCTCATGCATGAATTGCATTTTTGATAGAATCGTGAATTTTAGATGCATGCATATACATGTTCATCATGATCATACTCTCAATGTGTATAATTGTTGCGTGTTGTATTGATGTCTATTCTTAATTACTAGTTGAGTGCCCATTATGATTATATGATTGGTGTTCACTCTTTCTTGTTATGTTTGAGTAAGTATAGTTGTCTCACTCCCTGTTCTTGTTGAATGTGAGCTAAGATTCTATCTTAATATATTTGGCATAGGATGGCAAGGCCACCCTTCCACTGCTGTATGATAGTTAGCTTCAAACCATGCATGTAATGGGTCAATGACTAGATAGAAAGGGACCTCGACCTACTGCACCACGCATCTTCATCCTTATTCCCAAAATCTTCATTCCCTCCCACTGGTCACCTAGTTAGAGAGGTGATGGACGTGGGAAAAGTATCTTTCTGGATAGGTCACTAGGATGTGGCTGGATCCTTCGTGTGGAATTATGGGAGATGGACTATTTTGAATGCTGTTGTGTGTGTCGTGCTCCTAGTTAGTTTGTATATGTATGACTTGGCTCCTCCTTTTCACATACTCATGGATTACTGTGTGCAGATGTCATGCTTCATGAATATGTGGTATCACTTACGTGTTGTGTGAATGAGATAATACATTAGACTTTTGTTATATTTTAAAAAGATATTATTAAAATTTACCCTTTATGGAAGCATTGGATTTGTGATGAAGTTGTGTATTCTTCTTTAATTGATATCGATGATATGGATGTTTCTGTGTAGCAACAAGGGGCATCACAAGAGGATCAAAATGAATAAAATAAAGTTGAGAATGAAATAAAATACTTACATTAAAATTAGATAACAAAAATACTAATTTTATCTTTTTTTTATAAGGATGAATTCTAAAATCAACAATATTTGTAAGAATAAAAAATATTTAAAATTATAATTTTCATTATGTGATATGTATAATTTCATATTTAATAATGTAATTTGAGTAGTTACATAATTTTATATGAAACTCTCATATAATATCACTCGAGATTTAAATATTAATACACTTATAAAAATAATGGTTATGATGTAAATATTACTCTTATAATTTAAATATTAATATAATTTTATATAAAATTTTATTCTCATATGTTTATCATTATAACTTTAATATTAATATATTTTTATTTAAATTTCTATCCGTATATAATGTGACAATTTCTTTATGCAATGTTCATCAATTATATTTTACTAAATTAGTTGTATTTTATGCAAAAATATAATAAACAATAACTAATTAATATATTATATGGGTAAGGATTAAGTTACTCCAACTTTTTATAGATATCTGATTTTATTAATTAAACTCTTGAATAAAGTGGTGTGTTCACATTAATTATGCATATCAGGTATCCGTAAACATATACTTTTCTAATCATTTCCTTATATTTTAAAAATGTATATTAGATATTAAAATAAATTTTTCTAATAATTTAATCTATTTAAGAAGAATTTTATATTTAACTATAAAATTGACAAAATTAAATATTTACAAAAAATTATCAAACAAAGTAATTCTTATCAATATTCCTCCATCCCTACCCTAATTAAATTGTTAGGTATATTTTGCAAAACTTTAACGCTATAAATTTAGTGTTAACATTGTATTTACCTATTAAAAATAGTTTTTAATTAAAGCAATATGTATGGAAAGTTCTAATAATAAGGATAACAGTAATAAAATTTAAAAAAAAACTCAATATATAATTATTTCAGTTTAATTTTCATGTTATTATCTTAAATTAATATAAAGTATTTTCTTTCCTAATTGATACCTGATTTAGATTTATAAAAAACCATGTTTATTATGTTAATTAAAAATCAGCGTTGTGTTTAAATATTAGTATTTAATTTAAGGTAAATAAAAAAAAACAAATTTAAATTTCGATTATTATATCATCTTCAAGTAGTTGGGTAAGAAAAACTACCTTTCCATTACATTACTTTTTATATATACCATGAGTCTTACTAAAAAGTGCTTTTAAAAAATTAATTAAAAAATCACAAAAAAATATCTTTTGTTAACAAAACATTAAATATATTTAAAATCACATAAATATATACATTATTATGTTATTCAAATAAAAAAAATGTAGTTTTCATCACTTAACCTATTCTAAACATTTTTCATAATATATAAAAGTAACTTATTTTATTCTATTTGGAGTTAAAGGAAAAAATTTCTTTTTCAATTTTTTCTCGTCCATTATTAGAATAATTTTAAAGAGAAGCAAGATACCAAACTAAATAAAAAATGTATAATGATAATGATGATGATCAAACTCATTTTCCTTTCGCGGAGTGGCCGAGAAAACCAACTCATTTTCCTTTCATCTTTTTGCAAATTAAACAAATTTTTTTTTCTCTTTGTCTATGAACTTAAATCCTCCTCCTGAATAGTTAATACCGTTGCAAATTAAACAACATAATGATTGATCCTCGGAGAATTTTTTCAATTTCAGTCAATTTTCCATTTAAAAAACAAATTGACAGTTAATTTACTAATACCTTACATTTTAATAAAAACAAGAATAAATTACATTAGCCTCCCTTTATTTTATACCTCTTACTAAATAATTCTCTATTTTTAAACCTACACTAAACCCTTTTCATTTTTAAAATATACAAAATTTCTATTTTTAAAATGCATTACATAAAACTCCTTACATTTTTTAACGATTAAAATTCTTACTCATTTTATAAATAATTTACAATCAAATCCGTATTGTAATAAAAATTTAGAGTAATTAATTATTTTTATATCTTCAAAATAAGAAAAATTGAAATTACTTATTATCAAGGATAGTATTCCTTAAAAAATATTAGAGCATCAGAATAATTTTGAAGTGTTTAATAATTCTAAATTTTTATTATCAGTTTAATTATTAAAAAAAATTATAATAGGGGGATTTTGTAAAAGAATTTGCAAAATGGAAGGAAAGTTGAAGTAATTTAATCTAAAGGGAGTTTTGTATAAGTTTCAAAAATAGAAAAGATTTTTTGTAAGCGCAAAATAAAATGAAAAACAGGCTGGAATAAATTACTCTAAAAAAACAGAGTTGTGTGTAAATTTTAAATATCAGAGTTCTTTGTAAGAAATGCAAAATAGAGATCGGAGCAATTTACTCTGAAAATAATATAAGGGGGAGGATAACACTAACAATGGTATATTTTCCATTAACTTCGTTTAAACCATCATTCAGATTCAGTCTATACATAAGTTTCAATGACCATTTTTTAAACAGTAACCAGGCTAAAAAAAAAAGAAAAAAAGAGATCGTAGAGATAGAAATCACCCATCCGAAGTTCCCCATTCAGTCTGCAAATTTAACCCAGCAATGAAACCGAACTCAGTCCCATGTTACCGAAATCATCGAGTTGGCAAGGCCTGATTCCTCGAAGGTTGAATTACTTTCATAGACCAGATTTTTTGATGCTCCAGGAATTGCATGTGTTAATCTAAATGGCCTTGTCTCATCTTCCCCTAGTTGAGCAGAAATGAAGGACCACAGCAGCTTCAAGGAAACAACAATCACTTAGAAACTCAAAACCAGACAAACAAACTAAAAGTAAAAGTAACAAACACTATCAACTTGCATCCTCAGAAAAACAAAACCCTGAATATTTTCATAAAGCAACGTTAGACAGAGTTTACTAAATAAAAAAACTTCTATGAACCAACGGGCAGTTCTTCCAAGTCATAGAAACGTGATATTTGCATACTAATTTTCAAACAACACCACTAATGCTAGTTTTGAACATCGAACATTGAAATACATTTGTGAATTCAGCTGTGGGCCAATAACACTTCTCCAAATTAACAAGAAAATAACCTGGCAAACTAAACCAGGAAAGATAATTATTATCATTATTGTATAATTAACTCTGCAGTTATCCAGCAGTCATCAAATAAAATGTAGAAGTAAACTTTGTTCATAGTTAAGTCGTACTTAAGCAAGAAGGGTGTGCATTATGCTTAGTCATACTTTGTACCGTAGTTAAGTCATACTTAAGTAATACTTCGATAGTACTTCGTACTGAGTAAAATAGGTTATCATCATTCGTGACATGTGACATTTACATAATGTAATTTACTAACATTAAACAATGTAATTTTGTAAATTAATGTGGTTATGAAAATTGTTATAAAATGGTAGTTGAGTTGGATCTGTCTTTTGGTACTTTTGAGACATTATTTAAAATATTGTTTGAAGATATAACTTATATATAATATCTTAGGCTTTGTTTGAATGTCAATTTATGGGGGGAAGGGAAGGGGAAACGAGAGTTTATTTATAACTAACCCTTGTTTGAGAGTCAAACGAAAATGAACGGAAGGATTAGAGGGTTTTTCTAAACTCCTCAAGACTCTCTTAGCTTTATTTTTTTTAGTTCCTCAATTTGAAGGTTTTTTCTTTTTAATATTGAAATGACTAATTTATCCTTGTGAATTTGTGAGTCTCTTTTCTTTCCTTAACTCTACTCCTTTCTTTTCACAAAAAAAATAAAATAAAAAAAATAAAAAAATATTTTTTCAAAAAAATTTAGTTTAGAGTAAGAATTTTTTTTAAATTATATAAATAGAAATATAAAATATAAAAATATTTAATTTTTGTATTTTTTGAAAAAATAAAAAAGACAAAATATATGACTAAAAAATATAAAAGAATTATAATATTATTTACATGATTAAATCTCTCATTAATCTTCTCTCTTAATATTGAACATCCAAACAATGAGGGTTTAACCCCTCTTCCCCATCCCTTCTCTCCCTCTCCCTTATCCCTCAAACTTTAAACCCTTTCCTTTCCTCACCTTCCAAACTTCCAAACAAGCCTTAAAATACTTTTGGTGCTTTTCTCCAATTAAAATTAGAAATTTATTTCTGAAATTAATATCAACCTTTTCTAATGATGACCTTTATTATATTGGTTATCGATGTTAAATTTTAATTTTAATTAGAGAGCAACACCTAAAGGATTGTATTTAAGTTTTGTTTATAAAACTATCCACCATAATTGTACGTACTTCCACTATTTTCAAGTGAAAAAATAATGGCTTTAACACTTGAAAATCAGTTCACATTCTCTTCTTGTAAGCTTCTGCAATAAATAAAAGCAAAATACTTTTTATCCAAATCTCAAGCACCATCTTCTCATAATAATATCAATAACCACATTAAATTACATTGTTTAAAATCAATAAATCATCTTGTGTAATCTATCATAAATCATCATAACATTTTTCAACTTATTGCAATAATGAGTTTTATTTTGACCCCTATACATAACATTTTGCTTTTCATTTTGGTCTCTACATGAAATAGTTTTTCTTTTTTTTGGATCCCTCTCCCTCTGATTTGAATATATTTTTTGTATAAGGACTAAAATGAAAAATATTGTGCAAGGACCAAATTAAAAAAATGTGTTACGTATAGGGATCAAAATTAAAAAAAAAAATACTTAAATATGAGATGGCAGCATTATAACAAAAGTTATCAGTAGGGACTATTTTGAAAATGTTTTTTCATATAGGAACTTATTTACAAACTTTTTGGTGCAAAGACCAAACAAAAAATACAGCTTTTGTATCTGGACTAAAATAGTATTTAAACCTAATTATAATAATTCCATTTTTCCAGAGACCAGTATCACATACATCCACAACATCCACCATTTCACAATAATGTATGATCAAAACATAGGCAGTTATAAAATTGTAAAAGGGAATAAAGCATAGTTCCTTTGGCCACTACAGATCTGGCATAGTGGTGCGTTTTTGCTGTTGCGGCCATCACGACCAACGGCGGCTGTATTTGCAGCCCAAATTGCGGCCATTCATGGTGCAATAGTGCCATCACAGGGAAAGATATTAACTTTCCTTTTCTACCCTCAAAGTGAAAGAGTTTTAGGATTTTTTAAGGGTAAAAATGTGTTTTTATATTTAAGTAATAAGCTGACTTTCCCTTTTTGCCCTTATAATGACAATCTTTAGGTTTTTTTTAAGGGCAAAATTATCTTCTCAGTTTTCAGACCTAACCCCACTTTTCTCTGGGTTTTTTTCTTTCTTTATCTCTTCGACATCCATTCCTCTCATCTCTATTGCCCTTCTGCTTTGCAACTAGAGACACATGACAAAACCCTGCTTTTCCTACACTGTTTTTCTTCTCCCCCTTCTTTGTTCGATACTCCCTCCTCCCATCTATATCTCATTTCTGCTTTGCAACAATCTCCAATCCAGCACACTCACTCATTTAGGATGACTTCTCTAACAAAAGCCACTTCCTTTCTTCTCTCTATTCTATGATTCTACAGTCCTACCTCATGCTATTTATGCATATTTGTTTAGCATTATTATATACATAATTATCTACATATGTATATACTTTATATCCATATGAAAAACTTTAAAATAGCGGCAATCCCCTATGTGCTATCCCGCGATGGCGTTTTGAGGGTCCGCTACACTCCGCTAATAGAGATTAACAACTATGAAATAAAGTACAGCAATCAGAAATTATACCTAATTAGGCAGAAAATCATCCATACAAACAACGAGAACATAGTATTGAACGAATTCCCACAGGTATATGAGTAACATTTGTTACCTGAATAGAGTCGGAGCGTAAGAAGTTACGTTGAACCCGGCGTCCATCTGGAAGTCGAACCCCAACTCTGCATAGGAGATTTCTTTCAGCCTTGGGTTCTTCAGGCAGGGTTGGATATGTGGGCCTTTTAGCCACAGCTGTTTCTTGCCCATTCACTGCAACATCTGCATCTTTATTGTCTCGTCCAGCTATTGCGGTTGATTCTTTCATGCTTTCCATTGATGCTGCCAGAGCTCTTTGAACTTCCTCATCCTCCTCTTTATTTCCGTCTGAATCTACCACAGCTGTAACATCAAACAATATAATGATGATGATAGAAATACAACAAAGATAACTTTGTCAACAGTAATGATGGATATAGAATTGAGGCAGTAAAATCAGGATTTTAAAATTTCATAAAAATAATGAAAGACAGCATGACCATAAGTGGGTTAAGGGAGGTGGGTAAGGTCCATCCAATTACAACAGATAAGGAACACATCAAATATATGGAGTGTTGATCAGTAAAAGAAGTAAACGAGTTGATATAACAGACACCGTAAAAATCAATTCATCTGACACAAAACAAACCAGCAAGAAAAACCTTTAGTTTTTGGTGGGCTAGAACTTCCTCTAGGACGCTTGTGAGACAAGGTAATGTGATGATCCTTTGGACCAGCATCAAGAAATGCTAGTAGGCCCTAGCGTAAAAAGCACAAGACTCTTCAAATCAGTAAGTATACAAGAACAAACAAGTTCAGAAATTACACATGAATAATATTTCAGTTTCCAAAGAAAAAGTTTCCATCATAATGAGTAATAAAAATTGTATCACATACTTCCAATAAGCTTTCTGGTTGAACCATTCCACACCAGGAGCGCATCTTTTGGCCAGTGATGGGATCTATAATAAGCACAACGGGAATTGAATCCAGTCTATAATAAGTGCAGACTTTTCTGCCTTCAGTTGTATCATCATATACCTATAGTAATTGACAATGGAAAACCATATTTAATTGAAAAATAAAAAATAAAAAAACTATATATGCACATGTTAACATAGCGAATACTTTTGAAAATATCACAACCCAAAAGCAAGCCCGGGCTACTTTCAGTTAAAGCGTGTAAAATAGAAATTAGTACATGTATAATTTAGATTTGCAGTTATTGATATAAAGGTCAAAGTTTCAAACTACTATTGGTTCAATAGGAGCCACTAAGAAACCTTGATAGTAAACTTAACAACGTTACAGTAACCAAACTAGACATTACTTTTGTTGCAAGTGTTGTAAGCCAATTTCTAGACTACTTGTGATGGTTACTGGGATGGTATGGTTCACATTCTGAGATACAACAAGACTACACCATGTACAGGGTTATTTTATGAAAACAAACACAATTATCAAATTATTGGCTATTCTGATGTTGATAGAGCAGGATCACCATTTGACAGAAGGTCGACTTCAGGGTATTGTGTCTTCATTGGACGTAATTTAATCTCATGGAGAAGTAAGAAGCAAAATGTAGTTGCTCAACCCAGCATAGAGGCAGAATATCATAGCTATGACAACAGCAACATGTGAACTTACATGGTTGAGGCAATTATTCCAATGGCTCAAATTGGGAAAAGTGAAGGACCTATTAGAGAAGTCAAGGCTGAATACCAGCATAGACTGCACTTGACAGTTGACATTGCTCCTAAAAACCAGTTTTCTATGAGTCATTTCATTTGAGAAAAGGATCTTTCTAGTGAAATTACTACCAACGTTGTCAGTTCCAACAATCAACTAGCTGATATGTTTACTAATTCCCTCCTAGGACCTATTTGTAACAAACTTGGCACATTTGACGTATATGCTCCAGTTAAGGGGGAGTTTAAGTGTCAGAATTAAGCACATGTAAAATAGAGATTAACATGTGTATAATTGATGCTTAGCAGAGTAGGTAATTAATTCTTGGATGTTATCCCTTAGAATTAGCACCAGATTCTAATGTCTTGAATGTTGTACAGATTACAAATATACAATGTAGAGTATATTTGTAATTAGTGCCATTTGGATGAGAAGTGTTGAAGGGAAGGTGAACCCATAAGTTATGCGTAGGTCAGACAGAACCTTAGAAAAAGGCCTATGCTCCCCATACCAGTCAGTTTAGACACAATTTTCTGAGAAAACTAGACTTCAACCATGGGTTTAAATTGTTTAAAGATAAAGTTTCAGAGTTTAGTTTCAAAGGATAAATCCATGTAAACCTGGAGTACATATCTATAAAGGTTACTATAATAGGCGTAATCAGTAGAAGAAAGTGAAACAATATCAGCAGGACCAGCAGGACCCTATATATCAATGCAAACTAATTCAAATGGATAGTATGAGGTGGGGAACACAGGTGATTTGTCTTGCCCAAACACCATTCTAAGCAGAAATCAATACCAGTTAGCCACTTACTATGAACTGGCATATTACAATAAGTTAAGACTTAAGACTGTTTTCAGAGTATCCTGATGAGGGTGACCGAGGAGGGAAGCCAAAATATGGAGAAAGAAAGTAGAGGAAATTGATAATACTACTCTATATGAATTCTGTTCCTGGTGTTCTATAGCAAACAATCATATCTTCCCAGTTTCCTACAAAATTTTGTAATAAATTGAAAATCCAAAAATCATATGTCATGGACACAACTAATCCATGGTTTATGACAAAGTTTCTCATTCTCAGATGATTCTTCCTGTTTAAAAGTTGTGCATCTCAAATATTCTGAAGATAGAAAAAAAAAGAATTCTAAATCCAAGATAAATTAGGGGCCAAGGAATGGAAAGAAAGCACCAAACTCAGACACTCAGCAGCCTCTAGAAGAATAATATAGTAACATAATGATCGAATTGGTTCAAAACAGAGAAAGCAATAGAGAAAATAGATGAAGAAAAGAGACAAGATGTGTATTATTCTCTAGTACAACTCAGGGTATTTGAGAGAGCCTATTTTCTCCGAATGCCTAAAGGCCCTAATCCTTTCACAAATGATCTGACGACCTCTCTCTCTGCCTCCCTCTTATTATAGGGGCAATAGCCTTATTTCTTCTACAATCTTAACCTGCCTAACTAACTAATTCAATCTAACTAACTAATATGTTGTAACTAACTATTAATGAGTCCCTAACAAACATATCACAACTAATTACAAATGGAAGTTACCTAACAATATTTCCCCCCTAAAGTTTCACCTTGTCTTCAAGGTGAATAGCTGTGGCAGATGCAAAGAAAGTTCCATTGGGATTCTGTTAGGAACAGAGTATTCGATTGAAATTATAGGGCTCACACAGGGAGGATCCCTGGAATTACAAGCTGCTATAATAGAAAAAAACAGAGCCAAAGAACTATAACAATGGAAAACAGAATACAGCAATTAACTAAAGACCCTCCCACTGCATCAACCACCACCCAATGACCTCCCAGCCAAAATCCCCCCATTTGTCATCTATTCATTCTCCTTATATTCCCCCCGTACCTCCCTTGCCACCTATGCTAATTTTGTTAGTCAGTTAGAATCTCGCATAACGGCTTCTTGATCCACCCTTCCCATTTTACCCTTTCTCTTTTGATATGTCTTGAGTGGAGGCCCAGTTGGCCTAGACCCAACAATACCCCCTCCATCAAGGCAAACCTTGTCCTCAAGGTTGAAATGGGGAAATACAGCTTGAAGCATATCAACCTCCTCCCAAGTGCTTTTTTCCTTAGGTAAACTCCTCCATTTAATTAGGACCTCCCAGTGTCCATTCAACAATCTGCGTGCGTCCAGCACCTCTTCTGGCTCCACTTGCAGTTCCAGCTCCTCGGTCAAAAACGGTGGCAAAGCTTGGCTAGCTTGACTGGTAGGAGGGGCCTTCTTGAGCTGTGACACATGAAAAATGGGGTGCAGACGCGCTGATTCTGGCAGCAACAATCTGTAGGCAACATATCCTATTCTTTCTTCCACTCGAAATGGACCATAAAACCTTGGACTTAGCTTCTCATTGATCTTTTTGGCCAATGTCTTTAATTTGTAAGGACGAGCCTTCAGATAAACCATATCCCCAATCTGAAATTCCACCTCTCGGCGTCCCCTATCAGCCTGCTCCTTCATCCTCAGCTGAGCATTAATTAAGTGTTGTTTGAGCTCGTCTATGATACTGTCCCGGTTTTGTAGTAAATGGTCTACTTCAGCCACAATTGTACTATCTTTGCAGTAGGGAATAATCAGAGGAGGGTCCCGCCCATATAGTGCCTTAAAGGGGGTCATTTTGATGGATGCATTGAAAGAGGAATTAAACCAAAACTCCCCCCATGGTAGCCACTTCACCCATTGACCGGGGTGATCATTAACAAAACACCTCAAGTAAGCCTCAATGGTGCGATTTGTCACTTCGGTTTGGCCATCTGTTTGGGGATGGTATGCGGAGCTGAGTTTTAGCCTTGTTCCCGAGAGACGAAAAAGCTCCTTCCAAAATGAACTAATAAAAATTCTGTCCCTGTCGGACACAATGGAGCTTGGGAATCCATGTAAACGCACAACCTCCCTCACAAACACAGCAGCTACGTCCTTAGAGGAATAGGGATGAAGTAAAGGAATGAAATGAGCATATTTGCTCAACCTGTCCACTACCACCATGATGCTGTCTGCTGTCCTGGTCTTGGGTAATCCCCCAATAAAATCCATTGTAATGTCTTCCCATACATGCTCTGGAATTGGCAAAGGTTGTAGGAGCCCTGCTGGCTTTAGCATCTCATGCTTATTCTTTTGGCACACTTGACATTCAGCCACAAACCTTTCTACATCTTGTTTCATCTCAGCCCAATAGAATATCATAGCTAACCGCTTATAGGTCCTTGTTACTCCCGAATGACCACCCCAGGGAGAAGCAGGGAATTCTAACAACAACAGTGGGATTCGGGTAGAATTCTTAGGCAGAACCAGCCTTTGCTTATACCATAAACACCCTAACGAGACAGAATAATGAGGATGGGAAATAGGATTTGTCACTATCTGTTGCATGATTTCCCTTAATTGCTCATCTCTCAGAACTTCCTCAGCCAATTCTGCTAAATCAGAGTTGGTTATCATGGATATGGCTTTACAAGTCATGACTCGAGACAACGCATCAGCTGCCTTGTTCTCCAACCCTGGTTTGTACTGAATTTCGAAGTCAAAGCCCATTAATTTGGCCACCCATTTCAGCTGCTCTCCCACCAACACACGTTACTCCAATAAAAACTTGAGACTCTTTTGATCGGTCCGAATAATGAAGCGATGACCTAGCAAGTATTGCCGCCACTTCTGGACAGCAAACATGATTGCCATTAATTCTCGTTCATACAGCGATTTAACCTTGTTTCGGTCCAATAGAGCTTGACTAATAAAGGCTAAGGGTCGGCCTTGTTGCATTAGGACTGCACCTAAACCATGTCCTGAGGCATCCGTTTCAACCACAAATGGTAATTCAAAATTCGGCATTGCTAAGGTAGGCAACACCTCCATTTCCCTTTTGAGCTTTTCAAACGCCGCTTGTGCTTCTCCTGACCATTTGAAACTGTTTTTTTTTAGTAATTGTGTTAGGGGTCTTGCAATAATTCCATAGTTGCGTACGAATTGGCGATAGTACCCCGTTAGGCCCAAAAAGCCCCTCAAACTTCGAATGTCTTTAGGTTCAGGCCACTGAGTCATGGCAGAAACCTTGGCGGGATCAGCAGAGATTCCAGTGGAGGAGATTACATGCCCCAGATATTCTAACTGGGACTCTCCAAAGCTGCACTTCTTACCATTAACGCACAATTCCTGACTTCTCAGTTGTTGAAGAACCAAGTGCAAATGACCCATGTGCGAGGCATAATCTGCGCTATAAACTAGAATGTCATCAAAAGACACTAACACAAATTTGCGTAAATACGGCTTAAAAACCTGATTCATCAATGCTTGGAAGGTTGAAGGAGCATTGGTTAGGCCGAAGGGCATTACTACATACTCGTAGTGCCCCTCATGTGTCCGGAACACAGTTTTGGGAATATCCTCTGGTAATTGTGCGTTAATGGTAATTTTGTCATCTATTCATTCTCCTTATATTCCCCCCCGTACCTCCCTTGCCACCTATGCTAATTTTGTTAGTCAGTTAGAATCTCGCACAACGGCTTCTTGACCCACCCTTCCCATTTTACCCTTTCTCTTTTGATATGTCTTGAGTGGAGGCCTAGTTGGCCTAGACCCAACAGATTCCAATTAATTGAAGCATGATGATCAAGCCAACTACACTACTGCAGTCCCAAATTAGTCTCAAGGCCACCTGATCAAACACAAACAAGTGGCTGCAATCAATTTCCTTCAAAGCTTTGTTTTCTTTAATATTTTTTGCCCTGAAACAGAGCATCATTGCCTCTGCAAATGTATTGAGAACCCAAGGTTTTCTAGGCGAATCACAGTTTGTTGTCATCCTTTATTTCCTAAATGTTGTTGCATGTGTTTCTGCATCTCACAACTGAAATGATGGTATCCTTCCACATAAGAAAGCTTGTTTTCAGACCTCAAAGCAGCCAATTGTCTCTCTGTCTCGATTACTTGTCCCAATCCTTTGAGTTCTTCCATTTTTGGTTCTTGATCCAAAATGTGAACCAGTTCCCTTTGAATTTCATCCTCTTTATTTGTCTTTGATTCCGAGATTTCTGGTTTCCATGACTTTTGTTTATTTTCTTGGGCAATTTCATATTTTTCTGTATTTGTTTTTGGTCTCCAAGCTTCTGGTTCTTTTCTCTTCAGATCTTCATTTTCTTTTCTTCTTTCTTGCACCCAAGATTCTTGTTCCTCATCCTCAACTGATGCAAATAATTCTGGATCATATTCTGGATGAAATCTCGAGCACTGCCTTCACAAATGTCCGCCAATTTGCCTTATGATTACTTTGTTTCTAGCAAAGCCACCAATTGACAGCAGCACCCCACAAAGCTGTTGTAGCCCAAGATAGCTTCTCCTCTTCTGGCACTCAAATGGCCTCAAAATACTATGCATTAATCAGCCACCAGTAAGCCTGCTGTTCATCAAATGCTGGAATCATCTTTAAGATTTGACACCCACAGCTCCAGGATTAGAGCTCTGATACGAGTTGATAAAACTGGATCAAAACAAATAAAGCAATAGCGAAAATAGATGAGACAATGTGTATTATTCTCTATAGTACAACTCAGGGTGTTCGATAGACTCTGTTCTCTTCTGATGCCTAAAGGCCCTGATCCTTACACAAATGACCTGATGATCTCTCTTTGCCCCATCCTATTATAGTAGCAATATGCCTTATTTCTTCTACCATCTTAGTCTGCCTAACAACTAATAAATTCAGTCTAACTAATTAATATATTATAATTAACTATTAATGAGTCCATAACTAAGATATCATAACTAATAATAAACAGGATTTTCCTAACAAATAAACCCTAGTAAAATTCCACCAAAGAGGGTAAAAATGTCAAAGGGAATAGAGCTTTGCGTGCTATCAAGTATCTGTAAGAATACTTGATAGCATAATTGGGGTTTTGAATAAGACGACCTTTTTTTTTCATTTTTCATTCTTATTACTTTTTCAATATGAAAAAGTAATAAGAATGAGAGGTGTTAAGTTTTTTATCATCCTGGCGCCGAGCTATTTTTCTGCAGGACCTCCCCTATAGTATCGTCACCGCAGTAGAGTTTAACCACCAAGTTCGGGATGGATTGGTGTGGTTCCTCTATGCCTAGGACACCAGAATATCGAACCATGAACGAAGAAAGGCATAAGATAAAAGCAAACATATTGACTATTCATTGTGAGGCCCTAATTCTCGACTGGAGGGGACGTCACAATTATTTACGTGGTATTCCAGTATTAAAGAGATCATTCCTCCTAGACACACAAAACACATATACAAAGTAACTAGGGGAACAAACAAACAACAAACCCTTAACCTACTAGGTAAGATTGACTACATGGATCTCAAGTTGTCATTGAGGGAAAATAAAAATTAAATGGTGGAAGATGTTTTCCAATTGATCAAAATTAAGAGCCTTTTAATCTAATGAATGGCCAATACAGAAAGTAACGTTGATCTTTTCATTTGCCTTTTTCTTCCTAGCTGTTGAAAATGCTATGACCAGAAATGAAGCAGAAAATAACAGGAAATGAATGCAAAACACTGTTCAAACTGTGTAGCATCAATGTTTCATCTCTATCATTGATTCTTCAAATATCCCTAAATCAATGCAGGAAACCTTAAAGATAAGAATTGAGTTTAATCCATAAATAAAGAGAGCACATTGGAAAGCATTGCAACTTGGGAGATTGTAGAAAGATCTAAAGACAAGAGAGCAATACGCTGAAGGTGGATCTATACCATTAAATATCAACCACATGGTACTCTTGATCAGTACAAGGCCAAACTAGTTATCAAAGAATACACTCAAACTTATGTGAATTGACTATGAAGAGATGAGATGTTCACATCAATGCCAAAAATGAATATTTTAAGCAGCGTTGTCAAATGGCAGCCATGGCAGATGTCAGTGACAGTTCTCAACCTAACAGCCACAACCATGGCAGATTTTAGATGGCGGGGCATGGCAGCCATGGTGCAAAAAGCAAACTGGGTCTCTAACCCAACCTGGTCCAGAGTGACCTGTGAAAAGAAAAACCTGAAAACCTAGGTTGTAAATAATGCACGATAGTGCTGCTACAGCAGTGTCACATCGCATCATAGTGGTTGGCCATTATTTTGAGCTTGTCCGTGTTGGGTTATTTCCACAGTCACTGTGGAGAATTGTAGCAGTGGAAATTGCAGCTTTTTGCATGCGTCTTGGTTGCTATTGGAGCTTTATTGAAAACCCAAAAATGTCCTAAATTTTTAAAATTGCAGAACCTTTTTTTTTTGGGGCGGGGTTAGTATTTTGGGGTTTTGGGTCAAAAAATAAAAAGGCTTTAAATGGGTTTGAAAAAAAAATCATGCCTCCTCGCATTTTTCCACCCTCTTTTCTTTGGCCCTTGTCCTGCTTTTTCTGCTAAGTGTTCTGTTTTTCTCTTAGTTTTGCTATTTTTCGGCAAGTTGTTGTCCTCTCATTGTCCTTTTCTTTTTTGTTCTTGTCTTTTCCTATGTTTATTGGTTTCAGTTTCCAGCTATTTTGTTATTTTATTTATTTTGTCTAAATCTCTACTCATTCAGTTCTAATTTTATTTGGCCTTTATGTTTTGTTACTTTAAATGCATTGAATTAGAGGCTAAACTTGTTTATTTCCTGGACTAGTTTACATTACTTATATATACTCATTTATCGTCTTCACGTCTTTATTTCAACTTTCTTTGACATTCCTTCTCTTTTTTTTCTTAAACCATTTTTCCCTTCTTGGTTTTATATCACATTCTGTAGGTTTTTTTAATAACTGCCATGCTTCCGCCATAATTTTATGGCAGTTTTTTGGCTGTCCACCATCTGCCAGATAACATTGACTGTAAGAACTATCCTTTCATTAGAAACTTACTCTAGTTGGAGTGTGCACTAGTTTGATGTAAAAAACTGTCCTTTCACATGGAGACTTTGAGGAAGAGGTGTCTATAGATATATCCCATTGAGATATGCACCATTTATGGTGGAAACAAGGTGTGTAGATCCAAGAGCCCCCTTCCATTCCAACCTTAATTTTGACAACCTTGAAAATAACATCTACAAATTTTTTTAATTATGGTTTTGTTGCATGCTTTAGAGTGCATTTGGAAGAGCTTATGAAAATAAATTGACTCTCATAAGCTCTTTCTAACTTATTTCAACAAGCTTATTCATATATTATCAAAATAAGCTCTTTTCAACTTATGTCGACTAGTGTCATGGTCTAATTTATGGTATAAACTCCTTATGCAAAAAAGCTGATTCAATAATTGCTAATTAAACTATTATGCAAATGCATCCTTAGTTTTATGTGTTGCTTTTGTTTTGACAGAAACTTATGTGACTTGTGACTTTTCAGTTGTATAAGATTTTATGAAGAGTTTGAGTTTAATTAAAAAATTTTGGTGTGATTTAAGGATTACTTTTTTTTACCTTTGCTACATTTTTATACATGTGTGTTTTTAAATATAATTTTTCATTTTAGTTTACTCTTACGATTTGTGTTATGATCCACCAATCATATGATCCAAGAGATCCCCTTCTATTCCAACCTTAAAACTTGATTTTGACAACCTTGAAAATAATATCGACAAACTTTTTTCAAGAGACTGAGCACTATAGTGGTTAGGAAATAATATAAGCTACCATGCTAAAGAACATTTGAAATTTTCAAAAAAATTAAAAGCATTTTGAAAATAGAAAATAAATTAACCACAAGTGTTCAAGTAACACAGCAACACACTGACCTGCCAGAATATGAAGTTTGTACTAATGGTCTGAGAAACAGCTTCATTGGCCCATGTATCCCTATTAAGCTTCACAAAGCAAACATGACATCAGTGGTGCTAAAACTGAAACAAAACCAGAAAAATGTAAGTGGAGCACGAAGAATATAATACCATATGTGAACTGAATTCCTTGGTAGATTGTATGTTCACCAACAGCCATTTGTCCTGTACAGAAGCAGCATCTTTTGCCTGCATTCAAAGATCAAACCTTAGTCACAATAGCATAATCTTTACATATATGCAAGACAACAAGATAAGAATGAAGAATCCATGTTTGATTAGAATTCTCAAACTACTACCAGAATAGGTTTCTTTTCTTATCTGTTGTGTACATTTTTATCCAAAGCACAATGATAAATCCTAAATACAAACACATAAAGCGAAACAATACAGAACTAATTAATTAGTTATCCATTAGTTAGTTATATTAGTGGGTTAGTTAGTTAGGTGAGTTTGTTTAAATATGGCAAGTTGTCGATAAATAAGAAAAGGGGTCGAGAGAAAGGTTTTATCTGCCAAATTGAGAGGAAATACAGATTATTGTGGGAGAGTCCAGGCCTCTCAAAAGTCCTGGGAATTATTTGCATTTTGTTCTATTAATAGAAATGTTTCTTTCTACAATGCTGATCCAGTTCTACCAGCTGGTATTAGAGCTCGGATCTTGGAGCTGTGCCTGTGGGTATTGTGTTCTTGAAGATGATTCCAACATTTGATGCAATGGAAGCCTATTGGTGGCTGATCCAGGTTGAGTCATATTTTGAAGCCACTGGAATGCATGAGGAAGAGAAGCTATCAAAGGCAGAAAAGGCTCTAAGAGATGAGGCTCTCAACTGGTGACTAACATGGAAATAGTGCAACCAATATGCAGACTGGTGGACATTTGTGAAGGCACTGATCAAAAGATCCTAACCAGAGTACGATTTTGATCAACCAATCTGGGTATGGGAGGAGGTGCAAGAGCATGTGGAGCCAAGAAATAGAAACAAAGATGATAATTCTTGGGTGCGAGAAAACAGACCAGAAGATGAAGGCTTAGAGAAAATAGAACCAGCTGCTCAGAACATGAAAGCTACAAGAATTGAGAGAAACCCAACAACATTCTGGACAAAGAATCAGAAAACAAAAGTAAAAATTAAGTTCTAGAGATCAAGAATCACAGTGGCACAGATGACAAAGGGAGAAGTCTTTTTCTGGGTTGCAAAGAGGAGACATGGATTGAGGGAAGCCCTATCTTAGGCACGAGCGGAGAGCCAAGGACTGATCTGATGACAATGATGAAAGGTTCAGGTTTGGGCAGTATGAACAACCCACTGCCTCTGCCCAACCCACGTGATTCATTTCTCCCATGAAGTGGGGTGGGTCAATAACAGTCAACAGCAGTAACAAAATTTTGCACCTCAAGTGAGGCAGACAAGGCTGCTCCTACCTGAACCACAGGACTGTGGTGCATGTGTGGAAGCTGAGGCTACTCCATTTATGGATATGGAAGCAAATCAAGTCATCATTCCACAATTCCAAGGCAAAAGCATAACTAGTGAAGAGAAGGGAGGATGAACAAGATTGGATGTTCCTAGGACAGGTGGAATTCATATGAGATCGAGGGTTAGTGGCCATGTTACTACTCACAAATGAAATCCAGATCAAGAATTCAACAAACCTTGATTATGTTCTGTTCTCGTTGGAATGTGTAAAACTGGTAGATGAAATACAGAAGCAGAATGAAGGTCCAATTAGTACAGCAGCAGCAATAGTGGGAAGGGAATACAATATAGTTGGTATATTTAGCTGTACAATTGATGCTATTGAAAAAGTTATAGGGAATTGGCAATATCCAAAAGGTGTCATTTCACTGAAGGTTGGGCAGCAGCTTGTTTTCATGCTTCATGGGGAAACTAATGGTACTGTTGCATCTCTAGTTAAGGCTAAAAGGGACGGTAAATTGTTACACTTCAGACAGTGGGACCGGAGTTATGTAATCCTTCACTTTGAGGACAAGGTGAAACTTTAGGGAGGAGAGTATTGTTAGCATGGTAGTCAAAAGTTGTCGACTTCCCCTTTCTATCCCCATAATGAGGCAGATTTTAAGGTTTTTTAAGGGTAAAAAAGACTTCTTATCTTTTAAAAATGATTTGACTTTCCCTTTTTGTCCTTAAAATGATTCTATTTTAAGTTTTTTAAAGGGTAAAATAGTCTTTCCATCAGAATACATTACCTAATCCATCTTTTCATTCTCCTCTTCTCTGTCTCTTTTTTTAATGGGCATGTCCCTGTTTCTGTTTTGAGTTAAGGGTGGTTCCCTTCCCTCATTTGTCTTTGTTTAGCTTCCTTCATTTATATATTTATACTATTTTATATGCATTCATACAATTTTGTAGAATCTTACAATCTGTGTTACGATCCTACGAGTTACGATCTTTCACCCCTTCTCTAATCCTACATAGAATCTCGATTTTGACTACCATGATTGTTAGGTAACCCACATAGGTAGTTTGCTTAAATAATTACTTAGCTATCCATTAGTTAGTTATATTAGTGGGTTAGTTAGTTAGGTGAGTTTGTTTGAATATGGCATGTTGCTTATAAATAAGAAATGGGGTTGAAAGGAAGATTTTGGCCCAGTTTGGGTAAATTAATCAATAAATATTGATAGAAGTCATATATTAAGAAGTAAAATGAATCAAACTTCTCCCACAAATTAACATCAACTTATGCTTCTTGATTGTTTTAGAAGCTCTCTCATTTGATTTCTTTAAAACTTAAATGAGTATATGTTGCTTTTGACTTATGAGAGAAGTTTTATTCATTTTGCATGTTGATTTTTTTCCTCCTACAAGAACTTATTTAGAAGCTTACCCCAACTGGGTTTTTACCTAGTGAATTGAGAGGAAATACAGATTACTGGGGGGAGATTCCAGGCCTCTCAAAAGTCCTGGGAATTATTTGCATTCTTTTTTTCTGTTAATGGAAAGGTTTCTTTCTACCATTCTGATCCAGTTCTATCAGAAACATATCTATATATATCTAATAATTTATAACAGTAGCTTTTGGGTGTTGACTGTTGACTAGTGGCTCCATTCAGTCTATTGTTATCATGCCTAGATGGATTTATGTGTAGACTGTAGTGTATTTTCAAAATACAAAAGATGTATCTGCAAGTGTTAAGGTTGATTAGCTTTCAAAATAAAGAGGGTATGTAAAAAATCAGGAAAATAGAGTAAGAGTAATTAATTCTATATCTTAATAGTATAAAAATTAAAAACAACAATCAAGCTCAAGTTTAAAATCAAAATGGATAAAAAGATGTTAAGCCTGTACTTGGGTTGTCTCAATTCCACCTCTAGCAGAACCCACAAAAATCCAAACTAAAGAGCATATTTACCTTATCAAAAGGACCATTGAACATTAGATGAAATGGAGGGCGATAAAGTGAAGCAAGATTATCCCTAGAACTCTCTGCCGTAGAAGCAGCACCTTGCTCTGACTCCCAAACCCCTGGACGTCTCATCTCCTCTTCAAAGTTACGAAATGCAATTAGGGAGCTTGGTTCTTGTGAACGATGTCCAATCCTTGATGTGCTGCATAAACACCACAAAACACAACTTTAATGGATAGTTTGACTGTCAAAAACCACATATTTATCACGGCACAACAAACTTAACTAATAAAATTCAATAAGCCAAACAAAAAGGCATGGAAAATATTTCCTAAAGAAAAGGCAAATAACAAACAGCATTAATTGAATTCTGAATACAATATCATTTCACACAGATATTTATCTAATTTACATTTTGAAAGATAGATATGAGACAAAAAATCACAGTTGTAACATACTGCAGTGAATATGCAAGAGCAAGACAATCAAACAGCTCACATAAGTATATGACACATTCCATATTCCACAAGAAAAACTGTCAGCATTATGCTTCTTAGTGGGTATTTGTCAAAAGTACACACCACCCAGTTCTATATATAGACAACAAGACTACCTGCCTAGTCACAAGAGTTCACTTTTCTTTCATCTTCCTATCCTTCGTCATCTCACAGTTCAGAAAAACACGCACAAAAAGAGAAGAATTACTCAATTATTATACAAATAACTAATCCAAAGAACGACAAAAAACTGAAAATCCATAGTAATCACAAGATTAATGAGTGATCTACTAAACTACATGAGTGCAATCAAAGCAATGCTAAAAGAACTATTGAACTTCATTTAAGGAATTGCATTGGCATGGAGAAAAACACCAAATGAGAAAAAGCAAAGCATACCCATACAGCATTGCATCGTCATAAAGAGTTTCCCTTATTACAGGTAAGGGAGGGCGCACTTCTTCAGCAACACTTTCATTGGCAGTGTCCTTCCTGGGTTCACTAAAATGACAACAAGAGCAAGTCAAAACGCAACCCCCAAACAACAACTGACTCAGAACATGGAAAGCAGAGCTTACCTGGAAGGTTGATCAGTCCATGAATCAACGTTTTCCAAAGGCGATGACGGAGGCGGAACTTCACTGCCTATCAGAAACAGTTGAAGAGCCTCCTCGAGTTTCCAACTGGTAGCCTGTTAAATACGACAACATATAACATCTGAGAGATCTGTTAGAAGCAAATCGAAAATTGGGGATTGAAGGAAGAGGAAAACCTGGAGGAACTGGCGCGCAGTCTCAGCGGTTTGGCCTTGAGCGACTTCGAGGAAGGAAGAGACCATCATGTTTTGTTGCTCATTGGATGACTCCATTGATTCTGTTCGGATTCACTGTTTCAAAAGGGGTTTGTTGTTAGGGTTCGGATGCAGAAGAAGATGATGCGATGAAGATTCATTAACTCGTTAACCAACCGTAACACACATCCTTACTTTACTTACTCTACCTTCCACCAATTCCCTCTTCAACACCACTAGATGCCACTCTACCTCTCTGCATCAATCAGTTTTCTTTCATCAACATTAAAGATATATATAATATTGTTTTAAATAGCGGTATAATTTATAATTTAGAATTAATTTAAGATTGATTAAATTTTAAATTATTTTTAACTGATATTATTTATATATATAATATAAGTAAAAAATAAATTAATTTCTAAAAACGTATAAATTAGTGATATAATGTGCTAAGATTCAAAATTTAAAATTACTATTGATTAAAATTATAATTATTTTAAAATTCAATTCATTTAAAAAAATTAATTTGATATATTGCATTAAAATTTGAAATATGAATTAAATAAATTTGAAATTAAATTTACTGACATTACTTAAAATGTATAAAAAATAAATAAACATGTAAATTAAATGAGTAGAATAAATTACGTGGTTTCTTTATAATAATAACAAATTATTTGGCTTAATGAAAAAGAGTAATTTATAAAAATAAGTTTTTTCTTAAAAGAGAAGACTAAATTTTTTAATATAAAGGTTTTTTGATATAATAATTTTGAGAACAAACCTTTTAGATTAATTTACAGACACAAAATATTTTTTATTAATAAATTAAAATCATTAAAATATACAGCAAGAACTTTATTTTTTTAATATATTGAGATAAAGTGTCAAAATTTATAATTTAAATGTTAAATTAAATTAAAAATTTATCAAGGTTATAATGATATTAAAATTTAGTTTATAAAAAAATATATATCTTTAATTTTATATAATATATCAAAATTTAAAATTTTAATCAAGTAAATTAAAAAAATATTACTATTCAAAAATGAGAATCAAAATTTATAATATAATGAATAAATATAGGTGTAATTCTTTAAAATTAGACTTTTAAATTAATTTGCTTTAATATATATTAAATTAGATTTGTGCAAATAATAATGTAATTAGAAGGTCTTTATTTTTATATATATTTTAAAAATATTTATTATATTAATAGTGAAAGCTAGTATCATGGAATAGTTGGAACAATTATTATAATAGAAGTTATAAATAACTAATTCATTTCATATTGCATGCATTAAAAAAATAACTCCTTTCCGAACAAGTTATCTCTTGTAACCATGATCTATAATAGTCCTTACCAGCCATAAGTTTAATTTCTCCTCTGTATCTTTACAATTTTTCAACAAATTTTATATCAATTAAAAATTAATTCAAAATTTAATTATAAACTAATAAATATGTAATATATTGCACGAATTTGCACAAATATATTTATATTTTTTATTATTTAATTTAATTTAATTTTAAATAATTATAATCTAAATATAAAAATAATTATTTTTAATATAATAGAAAGATAAAAATATTAAATAAAAACTTTGACTATTTTTTAAAATAAATTATATATATAAAAAATAAATATAACAGTTAAAATTAATTTATATGTGACTTTAAATATTATAAATTTTAATAATAATAATAATAATAATAATTTAGTTATAAATTAGTAAATATATTTGTGTGTTACACAAATTTATTAATATTTTTTATTAAATTATTTTATTTTAAAATAAATAAAAAATTATAATTTAATTATAAAAAATATATAATAATAAAATTTTATTATATTAAATAATATCAAATATAATCACATTAAAAAATATGATAAATATATTTTTATATACAAATATTTATATATTTAAAAATTTTATTAAGATTTAAATAGAAATTAAAAGAAAAGAATAATTTATTGGATACAAAAACTAATTTTTATATCAATTAAAATTACACATATTGATATAATATAAAAATTTATAAGTCACATATAAAATATATAGATAAATGTTATGATATATTAAATAATATCAAATATAATCACATTAAAAAATATGATAAATATATTTTTATATATAAATTTTATATATTTTATATATTTAAAAATTTAATTTAAGCTTTACATAGAAAATAAAAGAGAAGAATGATTTTATTGAATACAAAAATTAATTTTTATATCAATTAAAATTATATATATTAATATAATATAAAATTTATGACTAACATATAAAATATAGATAAATGTTATGATAAGAACAAAGTCAATATAATATAATATAATATAAAGTAAGAGAGATATACATAATAAAATGACAAAATTATTTTATAAAAGATACAAATATTTGGTGATATTCTACTTTTTAAATTCTGCAAAATTTTAAAAGTATTTATACAATAATGCAATAAAATTGTTCAGTTTTTTAAATTTTTTATTGCTGCCTTTTGTTCAATATTGTTTGTTTTATCTTCATCAAATTGCAACCTAAAATAAAATATTAAATATAAATTACTGTATAATCTAAAAAACTTCAACAATACATTATAAATTTATAAATTATACATTAATTTCCTCTTTCTTTTTGATAAATTTAGTGTTTACACGGTTGGAAGTATACGTGAAGAAATTATTGTCAAATTATCTTTTTTTATTTTAATATTTATATTTATATTGTCTAAACTTTTTTATTTCTTTCTCAATATATAAATATTAAACAATGAAAATAAAGTTATTCATCATCATATTGCAAACATTATAAATGAAAACAATAAAACTCTAATTTAATCATCTATATTACCTTCACTACCTGCTTTGTGAAACTTTGTCTTCAATAACTTTCAAAGTAAGTACTCATTTTTATTTGAAAAATATGTAAAGTACATATAATATTTAAAAGTTGTGGAGGCAACTTCAACCATTCATCATCATCCTAAAAAAACTTATCACATAAAAATAGTTATTTATTTTAATATATTTTATTTATATAATCAATCATTTGATTAAATTTCTAGTAAGTTAGATCTTAAAACATTTGCTTACAATTTCAAATGTTACAATGGGGCCTTTTAGCTTTACTTATGTTAATTGTTCAACAACTTCATTAAATAAGATAAATATAGTTGAATCAATAGAATCTTTAATATCAAGTTCAAGACAAAACCTATCATGTATATAAATTAAGATAATATTATATAATTTAATTTATTTTAATATTAAAATTTTAAAAATAGAATACATAGCGTTATAATTCAATTACCTTGTTATTAGATACTCAACATCTTTATAACATGATTCACATTTAAAATTTGTACCTATGAAAGAAACTCTCTTCTTGCAATGAGGGCAAGAAATATAATACCAACCATTTTTAAGTAATATATCATTCACATTTGCAATACAACCAATTACGTCATTCTAAAAATTAATTAAAAAATTAATTTAAAAATAAAACAAGAAGAATAATATTTATCATATCACTCTTTGATTTTATCATAATCAAAATTTTAGATATGTTTTTGAAATTTTCTAACTTAGGAAAAACTGTAGATCTTGTATTATCAATAATATGCACATCATTAAAATCCCTACAACAAAGTGATAATGAATAATTGAAAATTTGGTTAAGAAAAAAAAGTAAAAGTTTATGAATAATTACTGTAATAGGAAAATTTTAAATAATTTTATTATCTGAATGAATTTATAAAATGAGTGACTTCTGGTGTGTCAATATTGATATAAATATTTGTTGATCTTAATGTAAAAATATAAATATTACCTATAATATATACATTCATATTTTTTATAATTAAATATGAACCATATATATATATATATATATATATATACTTTATTTAAATAAAATATTTTAAATATAGGATAATATAATTACCTTGAAATTTTTTCACAACAATGAATGTGAATATTGCAAATTGATTTTTGAATCATTGGATAAATTATCTTTTATTATTTCTTTAAATAGTGCAATATAATCATCCAATAGTGTTATTTTCATTTTATTTCCCTACAAATGATTTATCTAAAATTAAAATATTTTTCAATTAATAATAACTTTAAAATAGTTGTTTATGCATGATGTCTTGTAATTGAAGTATTATGGCATTAACCTTGCCTTGAGTAGTTATTTTTTCTTCATCAGAACTTGTATGCATGACCACTCCTTCAAATACCCTAACCCTTTCAAATACCTCTATACTCGCAACACTCTCGCCCCCTGTCACTGCAACAAAAATATCAGATAAAACTGCACTCTGGTCTCTGCAGAATCTCGCTACAGAGAGACTCTCTTGCTACAACGAGACTGCACCCCAAACTTTTACTTTGTCGCTTCAGCGAGACACTCTCGCTATAGCGACAAGACAACAGTTTCACGCCTTCCTCTCAGGACCCTCTCGCTGCAGCGAGAATATCCTGCACCAAAACACTTAGTCAAATTCCAGTCTAACCCCAAACATACACACATTTCCTCATCACCATAAATATATATATATATATATATATATACACTTTTATAATCACGTATTTATCCATATGCATTCACACACACATCATTCAATATTCATCACACACTCAAGTGTACATTCCAACATCCATTTATATATATATATAATAGTAATAATTAATATTACAAAAATTCAGGGCGTTACATCATAAATCTTGTTATATATGTGATTATATGTGAAATAATCCTTGTTTTGTGAAAAATAACCGGTGAAAAGTGAGAGTAATTGGTTGTTTATGTGATTTTATAATGAATATATAAAGATATATGGTGAAAATATGTTATTATGTTCAAATAAAGCATGATAAGGTATATTGAGGATGGTTGATATGATTTTGTAATATGAAATGTACAAAGAGATGGATGCTTCATGTTTGAATATATTGTGGTTCATGTAAAAATGATGTGTATTGTGAATATGCCATGGTTTGATATATATGATGGAAAATATGTTGAAATATAATGAAAAATATGTGTGAACATGAGAAATGACATATGTGAACATGTGAATATACTCGAAAGAGTATGAGATGGAAAAGGATATGATATGAATAGTTACAGAGATACACTAGGGGTGAAAGATGGAGACAATATGGGATATCTTGGGGAAATGCAGGGTGGTGAGTGACATTCGGGGTTGTGCACGAAATATTGTGTACGAATGTACCACATGGCCGCATACTCGTTTCTCGACTTGACTCCTGACCATTACCTTTGCTAAGGGACTGTCTATTGCATGCGTTGTATCCGTATTGCATTGGGCCATCCGACGACTATTTACATGTGTTCTCATAGATCTTGTTATATATGTGATTATATGTGAAATAATCTTTGTTTTGTGAAAAATAACCTGTGAAAAGTGAGAATAATTGGTTGTTTATATGATTTTATAATGAATATATAAAGATATATGGTGAAAATATGTTATTATGTTCAAATAGAGCATGATAAGGTATATTGAGGATGGTTGATATGATTTTGTGATATGAAATGTACAAAGAGATGGATGCTTCATGTTTGAATATATTATGGTTCATGTAAAAATGATGTGTATTGTGAATATGCCATGGTTTGATATATATGATGGAAAATATGTTGAAATATAATGAAAAATATGTGTGAACATGAAAAATGACATATGTGAACATGTGAATATACTCGAAAGAGTATGAGATGGAAAAGGATATGATATGAATAGTTACAGAGGTACACTAGGGGTGAAAGATGGAGACAATATGGGATATCTTGGGGAAATGCAGGGTGGTGAGTGACATTCGGGGTTGTGCACGAAATATTGTGTACGAATGTACCACATGGCCGCATACTCGTTTCTCGACATGACTCCTGACCATTACCTTTGCTAAGGGACTGTCTATTGCATGCGTTGTATCCGTATTGCATTGGGCCATCTGACGACTATTTACATGTGTTCTCATAGATCTTGTTATATATGTGATTATATGTGAAATAATCTTTGTTTTGTGAAAAATAACCTGTGAAAAGTGAGAATAATTGGTTGTTTATATGATTTTATAATGAATATATAAAGATATATGGTGAAAATATGTTATTATGTTCAAATAGAGCATGATAAGGTATATTGAGGATGGTTGATATGATTTTGTGATATGAAATATACAAAGAGATGGATGCTTCATGTTTGAATATATTGTGGTTCATGTAAAAAATGATGTGTATTGTGAATATGCCATGGTTTGATGTATATAATGAATGATATGTGGAAATATAATGAAAAATATCTGTGAACATGAAAAATGACATATGTAAACATCTGAATATACTAAAAAAGAGTATGAGATGGAAATGGATATGATGTAAATAGTTATAGAGATACACTGGGGGTGGAAGATGGAGATGATATGAGATACTTGGGAAAATGCAAGGTGGTGAGTGACATTCGGGGTTGTGCACGGAATATTGTGTACAAATGTATCACATGACCGCACACTAGTTTCTCGACTTGACTCCTGACCATTACCTTTGCTAAGGGGTTGTCTATTGATTGGGCCATCCGGCAACTATTTACATGGATGTGTAAGACCTAAGGATAAAGGTATCAGGTAACTATGGCCACAGGGTGCGGTGAGCAGGGATAATAAAAAGAAATTATGAATCTATGGATCATAATATGTGTTTATGTGTTGAGATGAGAATTTGCTTTAGGTGACACTATGATGTGCAATACCATGATGTTTTCTTTAATTGTAATGAGATGTGTGTTATGATGAATATGTTTTATGTATGAGTGGTAGGGTATAGACTTACCCTTACACAACATTTTCAGAAAACCAGGATGAGTAGTACCAAGCTCACAGTGCATGGATGGATGACAATTGCTATAGGACTTAGTTATTTTGAGTTATATAATGGATATTTTTAGTTCTATAGTATTCTTTTGGAACAGTTGTAAAACTATTATTTCTTTTGTTGCAGATGAAAATTTTAGAATCTTTATTTTCTATATTACTTATGAATCAATGAAATTTTTACACTATGGTTTATATTATTTTCACACTTCTTTCTCACTTACAAGAATGTTCAAAGGAATTCATTTTATTTTCTTGATTCTTTTATTAAAATATCATGTATTTGAGAAAAGAAATATAAGGCGTTACATCTTGCATCAATATGCATCCCAGACCTTAATGCGATGCATCATAGTACCCCTCAAAAGGTTGACCGGTATAAGGATGTCAACCTCTGCTTCAGCTCATTAAAGCTCTGTTCACAGTCCTCCGTCCAAATGAAGGGTTAATCTCGACGAGTTAATCGTGTTAAAGGTGAGAAAATCTTTGCAAACCCTTCTATAGACCTCTGGTAGTAGTCCACCAAGCCTAGAAAGCTACAAATTTCTATGGCTGTTTTCAATCTTTCCTATTTTAACATCGACTCCACCTTTGAAGGGTAAACTACAATCTTTTCAGCTGAGATCACATGACCAAGGAATTTCACTTCCTCAAGCCAAAATTCACGCTTGGACAATTTGGCATACAATTGTTTCTCTCTCAAAATTTCTAAGACAATCCTCAAGTGTTCGGCATGTTCTTCCAAGGAACTGGAATAAATGAGAATGTCATCGATGAACGCCACCTTAAATTGATCAAGAAAAGGCCTAAAGATTTGATTTATGTAGTCTATAAATATTGCAGGAGCATTAGTAACTCCAAAAGGCATCACCACATTTTCATAATGCCTATACCGAGTGCAGAAAGCTGTCTTTGGAATGTCCTCGTTCTTAACTCGAATCTGATGATATCCAGACTTTAGATCAATCTTGAAGAACACTTTAGCACCTCTTAGCTGGTCCATTAAGTCATCAATCTGCAGTAACAGGTATTTATTCTTAATGGTCAGCTTATTCAGCCGACGGTAATCCATGCAAAGTCACTTCCGTCTTTCTTCTTCACTAAAATAACTGGTGCTCCTCAAGGCGATACACTTGGAATAATCATCTTTTTCGGCATCAGATCCTCAATCTGATTCTTCAACTCCATCAGTTCCTTCGACACCATCCGATTAGGTGCTACCAAAACTGGTTCAGCTCTAGGGACCAAATCTATACCAAATTCTATCTTCTTGGTTGGAGGTACTCCAAGAACATCATCAGGAATGATTTCGGAAAAATCTCGCACAACCGGTACTGACTGAAGTTCTTGCTCTTGCTTTACATCCATAACAGCTAAAAGAATAAAGCATGATGCTCCCTCATCAAGAGCTGCCTCTACTTGGCATGTAGGAATCATTTCTTGTAAGCCTTGCTGCTCAGGAAAAATCAAACGTCGCTGGGCGCAATCGATTACCACATGATTGGTAGTTAGCCAACCTATACCCAGGATTACATCCAAACCCGACATAGGGATACCCCTGTACTCCCATCCTTTAACTACTATGGGACATCCAACATAAACGGTTAACGTCATTATCGAATTCAAAGTGGGGGTCGCCACCACCAATTCACTCTTCAAGTCACTCGTAGGCAACTTTAAATCCCTCACACATCCATCCACAATGAAGGAGTGCGTGGCTCTAGAAATAAAGTGTATGGAAAGGGAGGTACCTGCTACCACTCCTGTTCCCTGAACAAGGTTTTTGGCCTAAATCGCCTCTGTTCCAGAAGTGGTAAAAATTCGTGGCTCAGCTTTAGGTCTGGTCGTCTGCAGAGCCATGACCATTCTAGAATGTACTGCATGTAGGGCACTAGCCGAAGACGATGCTGCTCTGCTCCAAGAGATAGGACAATCCTTAACAATGTGTCCTAGTTGCTGACATGTATAGCAAACTCTACTTTTAACCTGTGACATTGGCTCAAAAAATATGGGTCTCTGCACTTAATGATCACTCAAATTGCATTAAGATTTGTCGCCAATCCTCATTAAAGTATGCAGAAATTTTTGTGTAGTCTAAGATGCAAGCCTAGGTTGTCTCTGATGACTTTGGTTGAAAATATGTATTAAAGATGTTACAAACATTCACTATGAAAGCAATTAAAAGGGGGGTTTGTTTGATTTCTAGATTCAATAAAAGGAGCAAGAAACACAATGGTAAAATTCAATCAATAAAGTGTAGCAATCCTTAGTTCATTCACACAATTCTATCCTTATTCCTCTCAACATTTAAGACTTTTCCTCTTCCTTTGAATTGATTAATTCAACAAGCGAGAATCAACCTTAAAACCCCATACGAATTTAAGCAAATTCAATAGACTCCAACCCTTTTTCCTAAGATTATGCAACCTTAGAAATCAACTCAGAATTATGCAACTCAAGTTAATAATCTCATTAAAATGAATTAGGGTTAATTAAGCAATGTCCCCCTCGTTCAACCATTAATTCAATTCAAAGGATTGGGAAAAAGAAATTCATGAAGGAAAAGGAATTATATTGACATTAATAACCCAGGAATTCAAGAATCCAAGTTAATTCACTAAGGATTACAAAGGATTTTGCCCTCCATGAGGACGAGTCTCACAAATACTAGATAAAAATAAAGAGAATTCAAAGGAAAGTAAAGGGAAAATGTTAATCAAACCCTATGTTGAATCCTTGGCTGTCACCCAAGGTTGACCTAAGCTCTACAAGTGTTCCCAAAATGGCAAAATCTAAAAGTGTAAAAATCTCTGCAACCCTAATTTCTAAATATCTATTTATAGTGAAGTGATCATCGCTCATAGTAGCTACTATGAAAACGATAGTAGCTACATGTAGCCTCCCAATCCTATCATTCTTCTTTGGAATTGTCACTATGGGATCTAAAAGTGGCTACATATAGCGCGCATAGCTACTATAATTTTGAAAGTGGCTACGTGTAGCACTGAATCAATTTGGGCCTTGCTGTAGTTGTCACTATGGATTTCAAAGTAGCTACGTGCAAGCCTTTTGTAATCTGGGGTCTCTGTAGTGTCTACTATCACTTCTGAAAGTGATCACTTTGGTCTGCCTTCTAGATCTAGCTTGCTGTAGTGTCTGCTATCACTTCTGAAAGTAGTCACTTTCAACTCAAATTTTCTCAAAGACTAAAAATGTATGGAATAAGTCTAGAAATTCCTGCATAATTATTCAAATGATCAAAATTACAAATTATATCTATGTAATTCAATGTAAATTAACCAAAAATTAAGAAACCTATGATATTTGACCAAAATGATATTTTTATGTTATTTACACTTCCTAAGTCTACTTTTTCTATCAAGGAACACTAAAAAGACAAGTAAAAATCTAATAAAATGTGGATTCATCACAACCCGTAAACTTAAACTTTTGCTTGTCCTCAAGCAAATCAAAACTCAATAAAGTTGCATGTAAAAGAGTTGGATTTATCCAAAAATTTTGCTCAAAAATTCTCATTCCAATATTAAACTCTAATTGGCACTCCGAATATTTTCAAATCACAGATTCATTCAACAAAGAAATCACACTCATATCACTACGCTAGAATGAAGATCTGAGAGCGGTTTCGTTTTAAATTAGAGAGCATTTAGAACTGCTTTAAAATCTTGCGCTATCTGATGTGTTATATTTAAGGGAGCAGTTAAACAACCTGCTATCAAATGTTAAGATTGGAGAGCTGTTCCACGTGGAACCGCTCTCCAAATTATAAGTGTAAGATGAGAGAGTGGTTCCACATATAAATGCAGACAGCAAATCTGAAATTTGAAATTGGTTTCTTTTTAAGTTTTCTACTACAAAGTAAAATTAATTTATTATTATGTTTAAATCAAAATTTGGAATTGATTTCTTTGTAAGTTTTCTTCATTTTTATCACAAATCAAAATTGAATCTCGAGTTTATATGTTTGGTGTTAACCAAACAGTCCACATCTGCATGAACCAAACAGAAAAAAAAAGAAGAACAAATTGGTATGATGATTTTTAATGTTAATAGAGAGAAAAAAGAAATAAAGAGATAATGGATGATTCACCGTTAACAAAGAGAAGAAGAAAGAATGTAAGAATGAAGAAGTACCTATAGATGTAGAAAAAATCAATTTGTTAACGCAGAAAATATGAAAGAGAGCATGCTAACGAAGAATGAAGATGTACCTACAAATATGAAATAAAACTAATTGTTAGTGCAAAAAAGATGAAGAGAGCAGGCTAACAGAGAATGAAGAGGTACCTACAGATGTGGGAAAAAAATCAATTTGTTAGTGAAAGAAGACGAAGAGAGCAGGCTAACAGAAAAGTTGAAGAAAACATAAGAAAGCAGAGAAGACGAACATAACTTAAAGTAAAAGAGACCAACTTTGTTAGCTAAGAAGAAGAAATACATTGAGCGTGTTTTATTTATAAACAACTTTAATGACTTTAGAGAGCGATTAATAGAGAATCGCTCTCAGAAGTATAATTCTGAGAGCAGTTAACAGAGAACCGCTCTCAAAAGTATAGATCTGAGAGCGGTTCTCTATTAACAGCTCTAAAAAATATAGATCTGAGAGCGATTAATAGAGAATCGCTCTCTAAATATATAGTTACAAAGCAGTTTTTACTAATTGCTGTCTAAGTTAGTGTTCCAAAAACTCATTTCTGGCGTAGTGTATCAAATATTTTCATGCAAAGTCCCACTAAACTGAAACAAAAATCCAGCAAGGTTTCATGCAATCTATACAATGCAAAGAGATTATCTAGCTCACAGGATAGTGTTTCACTCTTCACTCATTAGTGTTTCAGGCTAAGTATTTCCCCTCAATTTATGCATTTTGCCTCACCTTATCATATGCTTGCCCATATTCTCAATCTCCTTTGCCTAGATACAATGAACCACCTATCATAAGGGCTTTGTTGGTCACAAATGGGTTATGTTAGGTTCAATTTTGATCAAGAAGGGTCAAAACTCAAGTGGGTTTTTCAAGAGAAGGAAGTTCTTTTGAGTGAGTGAGTACAATAACTTAGAGTGGAATGCATTAAATGATGCAGCAAATGAGATTTAAGCATTCTTTCACCATATTTTTTATTATTTCGCCTTATGTGGAAATTATTTTTCTATCAAAATAACTTGCTGTATTTTTCTTTTTCTTTTTCTTTCACTTCCATTCATTCATTTTTGTGATTTATTGGACTTTAGCAATCATTCTTTTCTTCAAATTTAAGCATTTTTTTGACATGTAATATTGACATATATAATGCTCACCACCCCAAACTTAAGAGCTTGCTTGTCCTCAAGCAACTACAGTCACAACAGCACCCCAAACTTAGTTTCTTGCATTCACTCTTGATGCAACTCAAAATAAATACCTCTCTTAAGGTAAAGAAAATATTTTAACAAACTAAGTTTGACAAAAGAAGGAAATATGGAATAGGAAAATTAGGTGCAAAGGTGTTTTAGGGTGGATGAGTGTATGCAAAGTAGGCCTTAATTATTTAGATGAAAAATTGCACAATGCATATTCAATTAGGAAATAAGGCAAGTTCTAGAAGATGAATGCAAAAATACATGTACAATGCACACACAAAAGAAATTTATGGCCCAATTCTCTACCAAGGTAGAAGTGATAATTACTTAGCAACATGTGAGTGCAATTCACCTTTCAAGAAAATATGTTCAGTATGGTAGGAATGGTAAATATGTACGAAAGAGAGAATGATTGTGAGTTGAATGGGAAGTGCAATTAGAATATGAAATTAGAATTACAAAATTAGACTTAATTAAAAAGAAAAGAAGATGAAAAGTATTTTTGTAATTTTGTCCATTACTATGTAAGGAAATTAGAATAAACACTTATGAAATAGAGGCAAAGAGATTATCCCCCTTTCATAGAAGATAGATTCACAACCTGGGGGTCAAATTCATGTTCCTCTTGATGGGACTGGGGGCATTTTCTGCACAAATATACACAGAATTCAGTATAGATAGCAAATATGAAAGAAGTACGAATGATATATATATAAAAGTAGAGATGTTCTAAATTGTTCAAAATTAAAGCAGTAATATGAAGGTAGAACAGGAAAGATAAAAATGATAATGTGTGATAATTACATGGAAATAGTAGCGAATAAATGTACAGGAAAATAAAAGAAAATGAGTAAAAAGTAGAGGACATGAAAAGAAACTAAAGCTAAATGACATCTTCATTTGAGCTGGAGGATAAGGAGTTGTCATCATTGTCATCCTCCTCCTCTGCTGCTACTTCTTCTTCTTTCTCTAAAGAGCTAGAGCTACTGTCCTCTAACTCAACTCTCCCTCTAGCAATGGTAGTGAAAGGTGGAAGATCATTCTGAACTGCTGCTTGAAGGTAGTGGCCACTGAAGGTGGGAGCATCATAGATTTGTGCAGAGGTCATCCCCAGCTTCTTCCTTATGTTTAGCAGCATAGTGTCCATCAAAGTCATCAAGGCCGTCTGGCCAGAGTGTATGGCATCCTGTCTCAGAGCAAGCTGTTTCATCTACTCTCTCATCTTCAGTGGTGTGCCTTTTCTGTACTCTGCT